GAAAGACCCGAGCTAACATGGGGTTAGTTCGTTAAATTACAATAAAGCCTCGTGCAGTTTGCAGCAAGCTCTCGAATCCGCCTGGTGATTGGGGTGACCGCGAACCTGGCCTGAGACCCCGGATACTTGAGTTTTCGGGGGTCTAACAAGGTGTCATTCAGTTTCAGTTTAGAGCTAGTAGAAGGAAATTAGTAATGACATATTCTGCTTTCCACCTTTACTCCATGCTCTTGCTTCCCTCCCTAGAGGGCATGCCTATTACGAGCTCTGTATTTATTGTTCTAATGAATGACATATATTTATATGCCTGTGATGGGTTTTTCTTTTTAAAGTTATTTTTATTTTATGTGAATTGGTGTTTTCTTTGCATATGCATCTATGTGAGGGAGTTGGATTCCCTGGAGCTGGAGTTACAGACAGGTGTGAGCTGCCATGTGGGTGCTGGGAATTGAACCAGTTCTCTGGAAGAGCAGCCAGTGCTCTTAACTGCTGAGCCATCTCTCCAGCTCCATGTTGATTTGTTTCATTGTTGACTTGACATAATCTAGAATCACCTGGAAAAGAATTCTCAATGACGAATTATCTAGATTAGGCTGGCTTAAGGATTTTCTTTATTAGGTCGAGGAATTGTGAGCCAAATGTGCTTTTGTCAGGGTGTTTTATCACACCAACAGGGAACACAACTAAGACAATACCTTAACAATATATTTTTTAACTGTTGGCTCTTGTGGTCCGTAAGAGAATATATCTAACGTCTATACAAATGTCCTGAAATACCTGTTCATTGCTTGTAGTTTTCTCACTCTCACGTCTGTGTGAGATTCTAACACATTTATCCATCTTACTGTGGATAGGCATCAAACTTGTTTTTAATCTATAAAATCTGCTTCTTCAACATTATTGTACTTTTTGCGGAACTGCTGTAGAGTTTCCTGCTGTATATACTTAAAGCTGCTGGGCATGCCATGTGCATCCTTGATGCTGTCTGATGTACCCAAGTGCTTCCCAAAGTGTCTGTGCCCATTTGTGCTCCTTAAGTCCTGTCCCCACCTCCACCCCACCACCAGCCAATCTAGTGTGATTGATACACATTTTTTACACTATCAGTTAGATATGCATAATGAAGTCCATAGTTGTATAAGGTTTGTGGTGGGGCTTGAGTGGGAGGCCAGCATCACACTGCTTTCCCACCGCATTTCTCATTCCCCAAAGTGTAACCACTTTGACCTTTCTTAGCTTGGTGTGTCTGGTTCGGTGTGGGTTTTATGTGATATAGATGTAGTACTTTGAGAGTGATAGGCTAAGAAACAATTGAGAGCTGAGTACAGCAGGAAGGCCTCAAGCAGGGGTGCTGGTTGGCCAGTTTTTGTAGCACTGCAAGGGGTACCATATCAACCTCTCATCAGAGCTCTGTGGGTGGGGAAGGTCAGTGGTAAGACTCTGGGCAGGCTAATCAGCGTTTTGGTGGGGTCAGGTGTGCCCAGATGTGGTCGATAACCCTTAGCTTCTGTTTTCCTCTAGGGAAGCTTCCAACCTCAGCAGCCTCAACAGTTTTCCCAAAAGTTGTTGACCTTCCTTCCTTTCTTCTTCTTCTTTTCAGTGCCTGAAGACCTGTCATTAGAAGAGCGAGAAGAACTTTTGGACATTCGTCGAAGAAAAAAGGAACTTATTGATGACATTGAGGTAAAAAAAAAAAAACAAAAAACAGCAAAGCGTCTTAACTTGAATTTGTGTGGAATATTGAATTAAGGTAGCTTCAAGAAAATGTGAAAAATTTGAGGACTATGAAGACAGGAGGTAGGAGTTTTCCAGGCTGAGGAGGCAAAGGCTCCATCTCAGACATCACAAACCCTGAAGCAGAGACCACAATGGTGGGACCAGCATTCCTAGCAGTTGACTTGTGGCCCCAGAGTTACAAGTGTTGGAGTAGATGATGGCAACAGCCTGATATACTCTGCCCTTTTCTGTGTACATTATCTCAAGCACTTAGATAGGTACCTGCTACATTTATGGCAGTCCAGTAGCCTTTGAGTGAACACACAGGCAGATACTGGATTCTAGCTATATACTAAGGTGCCTACTTAGTAGTAGGAGCAGAATGACAAATTTAGATAAAGATAGATAAAACATATGGATACACACTGCCTCCCCACATTTGTGCAGTTGACTCAGGCCAGGGCTGAGCGAGGGGTGTCCCACAGGAGAATAAATGAGTGAAGAAGCCACAGTTTCAGAGCTGGGTGTCTGATCTTCACAGACAGTTTAGAGGCCTCCCAGGTCCTCAGGAAAGTCAGTCGTGTGTCCCTTTTTTGAGAAGCTTCCTAGTCATTGTCATTGCCAAAGTAAATGTCACCTCATAGGCCACTCACTGTAGAGCAGGCCTTGTCCTAGACAATGATTCCTTTCTAGGAACTTGTTTTAAGTCTGAACTTGTTGGCATACACATAATAGGGTTCTGAATAAAATGTCTTTGTACTTGAGAGGTAATTGGTGGTAGCTTTGGCTCAAGGTTAGCCTGTATTCTTGGAAAATTCTGCAACCCAGAGAAGTCCTTTGTCTGATTAATTAAGAATGGATATCATATGGACAGTGGTGACCATACTACTCAATAATATGGGCATGTCCCTGAACTCTGGCCACTTCATCCTGTCACCAAGGATGCTGTCTGAGGCTCAGGGAGGCTGGGAAGCTACTAAGGGGAAGCCAACTAGTGGGGGTCTTCTGCTTCTGATGTCTCTGAGTTGGGTCTTGTCCTTGGGGCTTCATCTTTCTTTTTAAAAAATCATAATTGTCACTTTAAATTTTTATCATTACTTTAAATTATGTGTATGGGTATATGCACATGAGTGCCGGTGCCCACAGATCACCAGAGAGGTGGGATCCCCTGGAGGGTTGTAAGCCATCTGACGTGTATGCTGGGAATTGAATATAGTATCTTTGGAAGAGAGTAGTGCATGTTCCTCCGAGCCATTTCTCTAGCCCCAGTGGGTTTCATCTCTTATGAAGTGACACTCAGGCCATTGATCGGAAAACCCAATGTCAACCTAGACACATCTGGGTTCTAGCTTCCCCTGAGAATGCAGGCTACCTATGCCTCCAGTTGTGTGTAGTGACTACAGTGGAGTGAGCTAAGGATCCAATACTTGCCTTTACATGATTCTATGTTTTTTTACTTCCTTCTTGATTTTTCACACTAGTACTTCAGAGTCTTCCTAGTGGACTCCTGCGATGTGTCTAATGAGAAGTGGACTGTGTGAGAGGGAGTGTATGTGTGCCTGTGTATATGTGTGTGCATTTTCTCTGCTGTGCTGCCTCTGACATTGAGTCTATTTACTGATGCTGGCATTGGGTTATGGCCTCGTAATGCTCATATGAGTCCTTAGGAAAGCTGTGTCTGGAAGACAAGCTGTCTCTGAACCTCTGAGTACAGGCTAGTTAAGATACCCTATGACACAGTTCCTTTTTTTTTTTTTTTTTGACAGAGGCTGAAATATGAAATTGCAGAAGTGATGACAGAGATTGATAACTTAACTTCAGTGGAAGAAAGGTAAAGTGTTCATGACCGTTCTTTTCAGATTACTTACCCTTTTTATTCTTAGCCCCTTCTAGCTGAGCTTATCAGCAGCAGATGCAAGGGCTGGGCTGGGAAGTGGGAGACTTTGGAATTGTCTGTCCCTGCCTCCTGTGTCCTCAACAACTTTGCAGGCTTGGGACTCTGAATTAACCTTTCTGTATTGTGAGGAGGTATATTTTAATTTTTTAGGAAGGTACTGCTTTTCACCATTCTTCTTTCTGAAGAAGTGTCACTGTATGTTAAAAGAAGTCACAGCAGCAGCCTTGACTGTGGAGGTGGGGGGCTCTGCTAGACACTGTTGTTTATGTGTCTCAGGCTGACCTGAGATGGAAAAGGAGCAGGGGGGGGGATGATTCTGCTGCACTCTGTGGAAGGTCTCGATGGAAAAGGAGCAGGGGGGGGGATGATTCTGCTGCACTCTGTGGAAGGGAAAACTAATGATTTTTTTTAATTGTTTAAAACCAATAGTAAAACTACTCAGAGGAACAAGCAAATAGCCATGGGAAGAAAGAAATTCAACATGGACCCCAAAAAGGTGAGAGAATGGTTCCAGCCTTCCAGTGTGCAAATGATTGACTGGTTTTAGTGGTTGACTGCCTTGGAGCAGAGGTGATCATAATCACCTCCTGAAAAGATGGGGCTGATTTTTTTTTTTTTTTTTTTTTTGTCACAAGCAGAGTGAAGCAGGAGATTCTGGGTGAACTGTTACTTGTACCTACAGGCCTTTCTCACAGTGTGGGGCTCTGAGTGCAGGTGTAATCAATGGGACCCTTGGGCTCAGTTTGTGGGGTGTCCAGGCCCAGATACTCCAGTCAGCCCATGGCATCTGCCCACCACATTCAAGGGAGCCAGGGTTTAGTCAGGCTAAGATGAATTGCTCAATAGTTTGACTTTGTGTCCCTTTTGACCTAAACTGTGTTTTTATGCTAATTGCTAATTCTGTTCAATTATTTATAATTAAGTTGCTCAATAAAACAAAAAAGCTCATTTAGTCTGAATATGGCTTTTTGCTGAGAAAAAATACTGAAATCGTTTGGTTGTAGACATAGTTGTGATACTGGCTTAGTTAGCTGAGCTGTTGTAACAAAATGCCACAGACTGAAAACCAGGCTGGGTGGTACATGGCTGTGAATCCCAGCACTGGAGGGTAGAAACAGAAGGACAAGAGGATTGACGATCAGCATTGTCTTGACCTATAAAGCCAGTGCAGGCCAGCCTGGGATGCATAAGAACTGGCATGCATAAGTAAATGGATAAAGCCTCCAGTCTGAGGTCTTAAACAACAGATACTTCTCACAGTTGTAGAAGCTGTGGGTCTGAGATCATGGTAGCTTGCATGGTTGCATTCTAGTAAGGTCTCCTTTTTCAGTGCAGAGAGCCACCTTCTTTGAGTCTTCCTTGTGACGAGGGTGTGGAGCAAGCTGACTTTGGAGATTCTCTTTTCAGGAGGCCATAATCCCCACCCTAGGGGCCCCAGATGAGTTTGTCTCACCCTAATTACCCCCACAGTTTCTACCTCCACCTACAACAATGTATGAGTTTTGAGGGACACACACTGAGTCTGAGGACACACCAGACAATCTCACTTTGCATTTCAGAATCATATTTACTTGTGTTTTGCTGCATCGTCAGTGTGACCTCTTCTGGACTACTCCAGCCTAATCACACCTGGAAGCTCTCACAGACATACCCAGAGATGGCTTTCACTGTCCTGTGTGTCTCAGAGCAGTCAGGTTGACAGGATTAACTGTCACAGGTTTTGGCCTGAACTCACCAGTGGCTTCCCTGTTTCCCATGACATAACTTGTGTCTCTTGCAGAGGGAACCACCCTTCCTTGCTAGGGACCTCCTTGTGTCCCGTTTGTGACTTGTAAGCCAGAAATGACCTTGTTCTATTTGACTTTCTCGAATCCTCAGTGGTTTATACTCTGTAAAATCAGTTGTATTGATTAGTTGTCTCACTGCTGTGACCAAATCCCTGACAACGGTGACCTTAGGAAGGGAGGGTTTGTATCTGCTCACAGGTCACAGTCCATTATGGCAGGAAGGCATGGTGGCAGCAGTGGGAGGCAGCTGCTTACACTGCATTGACAATCAGGAGACATGGATGCTGGTACTCAGACAGCTTCTCCTTTTTATTCACTTCAGGCACCCAGCCCATGGAAGGGGTGCCACCCACATTCAGGGTGGGTCTTCTGCTCTCAGTTAAAACTCTCCTGAAACCTCTTCACAGATATGGCTTTTCTCCTAGGTCAGGTTGACAGATGTTACAATGACCTAGTTCTTTGGGAGGGTGGAAGCTCAGGGCAGGTCCTGAACATCTAAGATAGTGTGTTCCACATGCTTTCTGTGACCTGGCAGAGGCCTGAGGTTCCAGGGAATGGAACTCAGCCTTGAGACCACAGACCCTGAAGCCCCAGGTCAGGATGGGGCAGGGGAAGCCAGGTGACAAAGGTGCAAGAACTTCTTAAGAGCCCTGGGAATATCCATATATGCCTATGGGTCATTGAGCTCTTTGATGGGGAATGGCCACAGACTAAACCTCTGAGGTAGCATAGTCACAGTCAAGGTAGTCTCCAGGGGCCAGACCAGGGCCAGACCCGCTTCAGTCTCTGATTCCACAAGCCTTTGTTCCAGAATCCTGGGTTTTTTCAGATGTCCCCCCCCAGCAGATAGCAAAACTTATCAATTTACACTCAGTTACTCATAAATTCTAATAACCCTAGCAAGGGTTCTGTAAGGCTGGAGTAGTGATCTTTGACCCTGAGGTATTAGACAGTAAATTTCTGCCTAACCTCTTGTGATTGCCCTTCCTTTCCAGACCCCAAGAGTATCCCTGTACTGCTGGCTGCTGGCTCACTGTCTCTACTTACGCCTAATTCTACTCACCTGAATGGTTGGTGAACAAGTCATACAATGTGAGCACAGAGCAGCAGTGCTGTTGGCTTTTATCCCATGTTCCAGGACAGGGGTGTGTGTGTGTGTGTGTGTGTGTGTGTGTGTGTGTGTGTGTGTATCTGTCTGTCTGTCTTTCACAGTAGCACCCAGGTAGACATGCTTTTTCCCATTTCCACCAGAAACACAAGAGTTAACTTTAGGGCTGTCAGACTTAAATGACATGCTACATGGCCCACAAATTTTAAATGTAAGACTTGAAGTATCTTGACAAATTAAGAAACAAACCCTCAACCCAGAACACAGTGTACTTGCAGAACATTGGAGGCCACCTTTCTGGGGCCATTGCTTCTCAAATCCATTTCCCCAGGTATCCCACACTATTACCAAAATTAGGTTTGCTTTTTTTAAACTGTACGTAAGTAGAATGAAAATAAACCTGCCTGGGGCTGGGGAGATGGTTCAGTGGCTATAGCACTTGCTTTGCAAGCTTCAGGACCAGAGATTGGATCCCCCAAACCCATATAAAACCTGAGTAGGTGTAGTGGCTATCTGTATGTAGTCCCTGCACTTGGGAGGCAGAGACAAGAAAGCCCTGGTTCGAGGCAGCTAAATTGATGAGCTAGAATTGGTAGCTCTAGGTTTAGTGGGAGGCCCTGCCTCCATCAGTTAAAAATAGAGCACATTCAAGAAGACATGATATCAACTTAGGGCCTCCATGCATGAGCACCCACATGTGTACATCACATTTATGCACCATGCTCCCACTAACTGCACCATTTACACACATGTACCTTTGTGCTATCTTTTGCTTTGTACCCAGTCTATGAAAGCCTCTTGTTCATTTTGTTCTTCCCTTCCAGTCTCAATCTTTCATCTTCTATCTTTACCTTTTCTCTTACTGGCTGTCTATTGCTGCCTGAAGTTTTTGGAAATGCTAAATGAGGCTGCCAGATGGACTGTGGGTGTATGAGGAAGCCAAAGCAGGCTTAGGCCTGGGAGTTTCAGGTGGAAAAGCTTCTCTGAATTTGTAGAAATGCCTCTTGGCACACAGCAGAATTCCCTGTGTTCTTCCTAGCCTGGTGTAAGGTAGCTTGAAAACAGCTTTCAAGTTGTGCAAAATAAAACGTTTTGATGTTGTGGCGGGTCCTGGAAGTTCCCATGATGGTGCAGTACAGCTGATTTGGGCCTGGGACAACCTTGTTCCTGACACTGCCAGATACGATTTGCAGGTCCTTAAAGTGGGCATGTATGTGTTCAGCTGGTGTAAGTTCAGCGCTAGTGCGCCAGTTAATATGCTTTTGGCCTTGTTGGGTAACAGAAAATCCAGTGTCCCCTGCCCCCCCCCAAAAAAAAACTGGTTACACAATGGAGTTTTATTATGTAATTGCTATGGCAATAAGTGGTTCCCAAATGGCAGTACAAGGTACTTACCTCAGTCTTACCCTCACATGAGAGATGCTGTGTTTCTGACCATCACATGGAGTTCAACGCAGGAAGAAAGAGGAAGGGTTGTGAATGGCATCCCTACAGGTTTCCATTTATGGCTGCTTGCCCAGAACTGTGTGACAGGTCATTTATATGTAAGGGGAGCCTGTAAAGAAGTTATCTGAGGTAAGGTGGTAGAATTAAAAGGGTTGGTTGGGGCAGGGTGACAAGATCAGATAAAAGCACTTGCCACCCAAGCCTGATACCCCGAGTTCAATCCCTGTTTTCCAGGTGGAAGGAGAAAACAGATTCCTGATGGTTATCCTCTGACCTCCACACATGCACTGTAGCACATGGGTGTTTCTCACACATGACACATACCCTCATAATGATTAGGAGAACTGACTCATCAGGTAAACATACCACCACACCTGAAGACCTGAGCTCCATCCTTAGGACCCCATGGTGGAAGAAGAGAACCACCTGATGGTAGGTTGCCCTCTGTGGCTAGTGCATGGGTTCACACACATAAATAATCTAAATTTTTAATGAGTTAAAATATTTTTTTAAAAGGTGGAGCAGGGAAGCTGGAGAGATGATCCAGCTGCTCCTCCAGAGCACTAGGTTTAATTCCCAGCACCCATATGGTGGCTCCTAACCTTCTGTAACTCCAGTCCCAAGGGATCTGATGCCCTCTTCTGGCCTCTGCAGGTGCTAGGCATGCATGTAGTACACAGACACACATGCAGGCAAACAATAGAAATAAACAATTGTAAAGGGGTTGGTTGTTGGTTATTGCATTGACCCATGGCAGCATCTCTCACCCACAGTGACTAGTGAAGTCCTGTGAGGCAGGAAAGACATGGTTTCCCTAAGCTTTACAAATCTGGTATTTAAACTGCTGTGTAACATGTGACGAACACAGTGGCTTGCTCTTGAGCGGATGAAACACAGTATGACGTTCCGGAAGTCAGGTCATGCAGACTCCCTGGTCTCTGGCATTTTTACTGTGTCCAGACCTGCCACATTCTGGCACAAAGCATGTCCCCAACTTTGAAATGGATCATGACCAGCGTGTTCTGCCTCACTTGTTCCTCAGGGCATTCAGTTCCTAATTGAGAATGACCTGCTGCAGAGCTCCCCAGAGGATGTCGCCCAGTTTCTATACAAAGGAGAGGGCTTGAACAAGACCGTCATTGGAGACTACCTGGGTGAGAGGTAAGCTCAGGATGCTCTCACAACTCTTGAGCTGCAGACCATAGGGACAGAGGTGCTGCCCCAGCACTGCCTCATGAGGACAGGGTTTTAGGACACTGGGACATTTGGGATCTTATCATACCAAAGGTGAACATGGACCAAAGACCTAAATAGAAGAATTAAAACTATTACATACTTAAGAGAAAACATAGGGGTGAACTGAACCTTCATGGTCTGGAATTATACAGGGTTTCTTATATTTCCTATCAAATGATTAATGTATATTGCAAGACACTTGAGTGGGGAAAGAATGATCCCAGTAGTTGATATCAGATGACATCTATGAGAGGCAGCATTGGGCACCTCACTATACAAAGAGGTTAATATGGGTCCAAGACACAAATGTGAAGCCATCAAAAGCTTACAATCATGCAAATCGTCAAGATTCTGTTATTGCAAGAGTGTCTTAGGTTTGGTGCTCAAAGCCCAAGCAGTTAAAGAAAATGAGGTAAACTGAACATCACAAAACTTAAAACATTTTATACATTTATTTGTATGTGTGTACACGTATGGGTGACAGCATGCTAATGTGTGGGAGTTGGTTCTCTGTTTCCACTACATGAATTCTGGAATCAAGCTCAGGTTGTTAAGCTTTGCATCAACTGCCTTTACTTCCTGAGTCAATTCACCAGCCCCAAATTATTATTTCAGACAATACTCTCAAGAAAGAGGCGTGGGGAAAGTAGAAGAAAAAAGCTGGGTGGTGGTGGCACACGCCTTTAATCTCAGCACTTGGGAGGCAGAGCCAGGCGGATCTCTGTGAGTTTGAGGCCAGCCTGGTCTACAGCGGGAGTTCCAGGACAGCCAGAGCTACACAGAGAAACTGTCCTGGAAAACCAAAAATGAATAAACGAACAAATATTTAAAAAGGAAAGAGAAGCAGCCCTGTCTTCGAAGAGGAGCATTTGAAAATCTTACTTGACATCTGATAAGGACACAACGAACATAAATAAAGAAGCCTTGCAGGTTGAGCAGCCCTAATCTCAAACCCTAAATGCTGCAGAGATAGGAGTCTACCTTTCAGACTGCCCCTGGGCCCACCAATCCCTAGGTTCTGGCAGCTGATGTAGTCCCAGGCCTTGTCCTTAGCTGTGGTCCTAACCTGGCTGTCAAGGCTGCTCCTTCCCCCCTGAGCAGCAGAGGAGTGTGCATGTGTGGGTGCACAGCTGGCCCAAGTGTGCCTGATGCTGAGCCGCTTTCCCAGTTTAGTGGATCATCTGACAAGTGTGGTGTTGCACAGTCAGGGACTCAAGCCAGCCTCTCCTGTCTTCCAGGGCAGGCCTTTCATTGCCGCCTGGGAAGAGGCCTCATCATGCCCCTTCTGGGGATACATGCTCAGGGACTGATGGTTTCTTAAGGCCCCGGGGACAGTAATACCTCATCTTTTAACTTGAAACTTCCACGTGAGATGAGGTGTCCTGTGGGCAGACAGCACTAAGCTGTAGCCACTGATCATAGCATGTCTAGTGCTTGTGTGGTACAGATTGTGGTCTTCAGACCAGGCCTAGTCTGTTCTCCAAGGATGGCAAATCCCAGGTGTGTTCTGTGAGGTTGTAGGTATATTATTCTCATGCAGCCCACAGTGGGTGCCAGCCCTTTGATAGGACAGATGGAGCCTGGTATTGTGCTTGCATTATGTCCTTAGAGCACATGGTGAGCAGGTCTGTTGCAGAATTTGAGCTAAAATCCAGTGAAACACTGATACATCATTATTCTTTTTACTGTATTTAGATAAAAACTTGCCTTTTATTGTATTGTCTAGTTTTACATTTAAAACCAATATGATTGGGCTTATGGTTCATGCCAGTAATCCCATACTCATGAGGCAGGCTGAGGCAGGAATGCTTTAATGAGTTCCCTGGGTTATATAGTGAGTTCCATGCCAGTCTGGGACCTCATCCCACCCCCCTCCAAAAACAAAGCAAAACAAAAAATCTTTAATATGATGTATTGTTGTCCCCCCACAAAAAAAATTTCCTTGGCTAGTGCACTCTATGGCTTGTGGCCTGAGAATGTTGTTCCTCTCTTTCTCACACTCAAAACCCCTCTGTGAAGCAGAGACCATAGTAAGATCTTGCTCAGAGCCATATTGGAGGTTCCAGAATGTGTACAGGGCCCAGGCCTTATTTGTTGTGCAATGCTTAGAGCTGGCCTGAAGATGAGTTGAGGGTTTATGGTGGGTTCCTTCCTAGCTCCTATCCATTAGGATATACTCTCCAGAGAGCCTCTCGGCTCTCCTTTGCGTTGAGTCTGAAAACTGCTGGGCATGGGCACATGTCTGAAGCCTAGCACTTGGGAGGTAGAGGCAGGAGGATGAGTTCTAGGCTTTCTATAACCTAGTTCTACCTCAAAAGAACAAATAAAAATTGTAAACCACATTTACAATGCAGAGCATAGTTGCTTGTAGTCAGCTACCATTACTTGCAAAGGCCTGCCGTGGATATAGATGCCTTCTCTCCAGGTAACTCAGATGGAACGTGCTTGCTTTGTTTCTGTTCTTTCTTAGGGATGATTTTAATATCAAAGTTCTCCAGGCTTTTGTTGAGCTTCATGAGTTTGCTGATCTCAACCTTGTCCAGGCCTTAAGGTGAGTGGTTGCCTCGCAGGGTGTATAGATAGATGGGAAGGCTGGAGTGGCAGTAGCCATTGAGTCACTCCAGGTGACTCTGATGGACCCCCACCCCCGGTAGCACTGCAGTTCTGGCAGGTCAGCCCTTGCATTCTGTCCTGTGTGACAGTCAGCAGCCCTAGGTGGAAACCATATGTGCTCAGGAATGGACTGCATGCTTGCCTGGCTGTGGCCACTGCTTCTGCACTGTCTCAGTTTCTTTGTTGTCCTTCATTCTGGGGTCCCTGCACTTGCTGCTACCTTACTTGTTCGTGTGACACAGTGCCCTGATGAAAAGTGACTTAAGGAAGGTTCTGTCTTGATTCACAGTTTGAGGGTGCAGTCTGTCATGAGGCATAGCCGATGCCTAATGTGTAAGTGTAGATAATAAGAGATTTTGACAGCTTTGTAGAAAAAAAGCTGAGGCGATAGATAGATAGATAGATAGATAGATAGATAGATAGATAGATAGATAGATAGATAGATAGATAGATTACTCTCTCCATTGAGCTTTATTGGGAGAGTTCCAGGCTCCCATCCATTTTGAGGCTTTGAAGCAACAGAGCCACCATGCAGAACACTGTAGGGTCCTAGAAAGGAAGAGACACAGCCTTCCATTCTAAGAATGGAGGGATTTCTTGTTCTTACAGGTTTCATAGAGACAGGAGGTAGGAAGGAAAGCTCTGGTCCATGGGATGATGCCATCTACATCCTCATTTAAGCCTTTTCTGGAAACACCCTCAGAGGTAGACCCACAGGTTTGTGCCTGTGGTCACTAGACTTAGCCTCAGGGCCCAAGCATATGAGTGTGCCAAGAGGATAGATTGAACCATCAGATGTCATTCTGTGGTCCCTGATGTGTGTGAGGAAAGCCCCTGTCACTGTAGAGTATATGTGAGTGAAGGGGGATGGCCCTCAGTGTTCTGGTTCCCATAGTGTGCTCTGTGGATTCCCACTCAAGTTGCTGGGTCTGCAGTCTTGAGCAGATGGTGTCTTGTCTTCTGTGATAGCATGGCGTTTGGACTGGATTTTTACCTGGTGTATAGGAAGAGGTAACAAGGACTGTCCTGGAGGAGTCACCCCAGAGTGTTCCAAGCTAAACATACATAGCCAGCCTTGTCTGGTCGTGTCTTCATACCTTCTCCTCCTGCCTCTGAGGTTGTTCACATGGCCTTACTTCAGCTGCAGACTGGAATGTTGGCAGCCTTTGGTTGTGGTCCTTGGGACACTGCCTACCAGTTCAGCCTGGACTGAAAGGCTTGCTGTCAAGAAAGCCATACAGGAGTCTTACAGACCTGGTTAGCTGATTTTAGGTTCAGTTTTGGAGGACTATATGGCCAGAGAAAGGCTCAGACCTGATGAGCCTGGAAGACTGGTCCATGGCATAGCCCTTACCACCGTGGTTCTGTTTTTCTGTTACTCTGTGTCTGCCTTAGAGTCAGAGGGCAAAGTCTGAGGTGACCTCTCCACTAGACTAAGGAGAATGAGTAGCTGCTGCCTACCTTGGGTTTGCTGCACTGGATTCTGTTGTGGCTGTGCCTGGCCTGTAGCACTGTCTCCTCTCTGCCCTTGGGCCAACAAGTGATGCAAGTGGGACATGCTCAAAATGGTACCAAGTCTGCTATGGGTATGGGGAAGATGGCAGGCTTGCTAATGCTTGTTTGATTGCTTCTGCATAGAAGCAGGCTGCTGTGGGAATAAATTGTGAGGCTAGATAAGAGGTCCTCAGACTAGTGGGCGGAGGGTGGTCATGGTGGGATCAGAACTGAGGAAGATGCTCTGGTGGAGGGGGGGAGCAAGGAGAGCATGTCTGTGGTGCTTTGCTGACCGTGTGGGGCAGCGTGGGAAAGTGTCAGAGATGGGCCTTGCTCTAGTGGCTCCTGCAAGTGGGAATAGGAACATCAGTGTGTGATGCTATTGAGCCAGGATCTGACAGAGTGAGTGCCTGATTGTGACTGGAATGCCTCTGGCAGTGGGAACAGTGGCAAGGAGGAGGGAGTGGTGAACAGTCCTAGAGGAAACAGTCCTGTTCACCAGTCTGCAGAGGAGGAAGAGCCCAGGGAAAGAACAGGTCCTCTCCTGTATCACTGAACTAGTCATGTCTTAATACCCCAACAGTCCAGATGTTTTCCTGCAGCCTGTAGATCCAACCTGAACTTTTGTCTTCATACTGAGCCATTGTTGCATGGCTGTCCCTGAGCAGCTGGATATGAGCTTCACTGGCCAGGGTGACTCTTGAAGCTGCACAGCCATAACCTTTCACTTGGTACTTAAGGGAAGCAGGTGGAGAATGCTGGTGGGTACCTTGTAGCCAGAGAAAGCGAAGCAAGGAGTTGGAGATGCGGGGGAGGAGCTACAGTGTCACATAGGGCACCTTAGTGGGAGAGGAACTTCTGAAGACAGGAACAGCTATGTGCTTGGGCCTGGTCCTTGGTGGCAGGAGTGACACAGCAGCAGACTGTGACAGTGGCCTGGAAGGTGTGGGTGAGCCCTGGCTTCTGACTCTGACCTTGCCTTGTGGTGAGTTGTTCTGAGAGGAGACGATCCTTCATCCTGTCAGAACTGGAGCTGCCATGGGGATAGAGGGCCCTGGTATCACCTGGTCTGTGTAGGAGGTGGTAACATGGGGGGCAAAGCATGCTGGGATCCTGTTCAGGCTTGAGGCATCTGCAGCAGGCTTGAGGAATGGCTTGAAGTTACACAAAAGGAGCAGACAACAGTCTTCACTTGTTGAATAGGAGGAAACAAGCTGGCTCCGTGGCAGCTCTGGGCACTCAGACTGAGGAGGCTATGCTCTTGCTGTGGCATGGGGCAAGAGCTGCTGGGGAGCCTGGCCAGATCTCTCCTCTCAGGGTCACTCAAGGAAGCATCCTCTGTCTTTACAGGCAGTTTCTATGGAGCTTCAGGCTTCCCGGAGAGGCGCAGAAGATCGACCGCATGATGGAGGCCTTCGCATCACGATACTGCCTGTGCAACCCTGGGGTCTTCCAGTCCACAGGTCAGCAGCTGCCACATCCCAGAGTTGAGATGCTCCCACCCATAGCTCCCATCACCCCCACTGCCCCTGTAGGGAACCACCCCTCAAAGTGGGCAGGCCATTCTACCAGCAAGGTTCACTCTCCATGTGGAAATGCAAGCTGAGCTTGAAGCCTCCCCATCTTGTGTCTTGTTGCAGACACATGCTATGTGCTGTCCTTTGCCATCATCATGCTCAACACAAGCTTGCACAACCACAATGTGCGAGACAAGCCTACTGCCGAGCGCTTCATCACCATGAACCGTGGAATCAACGAGGGTGGGGACCTTCCCGAGGAGCTGCTGAGGGTGAGTCCACAGGCAGCTTCTCAGCTGGGTGTTTGTCCTAGCTTCATTTCTGGTGCTATGATAAAATACCGTGACAAATGTAATTTTAAGGGAGTAAGAGTTTATTCAACTTACAAAGTCTAGCTTACAGCCCGTCATTGTGGGGAAGTCAAGGCAGGAACTTGAAGCACCTTATCCAGTCCTGTCAAGAGCCAAGAGAGTGCACATGAATGCATGCATGCTCAGCAGTGCTCAGCTCGGACCCTGTTTTTATGCCCTTTAAGGCAGCACCCACTGTTAGGCTAGACCGCCTTCCTCACAGGTCAACCTGATCTAGACAGTCCCTCATTGAGACTTCTTCCTCATGTGATTCTAGATTGTGCCATGCTGACAATTAAAACTAAACATCACCATCTCCTTCCTTGTTGTCATTTATGGGGTTTTCCTACTCGTGGGGGCAGGGGGTGGTATAGGGATCAGTGTTGAGTTTCTCTGCTTTAGTTTTTACTTACTATTTTTAGTGTGTGTATGTGCATTATGTATGTGGCATGTGAAGGTCGGAGAACAACTTTGTAGAGTTGCTTCTCTCCTTCATATGTGTGTAAGTTCTGTGGATGGGACGTATGTTGCCAGGTTTGTGTGCCTAAGTACCTTCACCTGCTGAACCATCTCACCATCGCTGGGTGCTTGTTGTTGTTTGGTAGCAGGGTCTCTCACTGGCCAGTAAGTCCCAAGGATCCTCCTGTCTCTGCCTCTAAGATGATAGACATAAACTACCAAACCTAGGTTCTTGTTTACACAGGTGCTAGGCATCTAAAATGGGGTCTTCATTCTTTGCAGGCAAGCATTTCACCAACTGAGCCATATCCCATCCTCTCAAGTTATTTTTAAGTCTCCAAATACTTGTAATCCAATGAAAATCAGTAGCACTGGTTTGTTGATTTCAAAGGTGCCTTCTAAGTGTCTCCCTAACCTTCTGGTCTCAGCTGTGTGGCATTTCTGTGCAGGAGGGAGAGAGGGTGGTTACTTCTCATTCCAGTCCCTGATTGGCTTTGCTCCTTTCTTACAGAACTTATATGAAAGTATCAAGAATGAGCCGTTTAAGATCCCAGAAGACGACGGGAATGATTTGACACACACGTTCTTCAACCCTGACCGAGAAGGCTGGCTGCTGAAGCTGGGTGAGCCTGGCAGGGTGGGACCTGCGCCCACACCCCTCCACCCACAGCAGCAGCTCCCAAGGGCTTCTTGCCCTGCTCCTTCCTTGGAGCCACAGCCCCCACTACAAGGCAGAAAGATTATAAAAAGAAAAATTCAATCAAGCCAGAGCCCCCTCTGGGCAGCCACACATCCCAGCACTGGTGGCTGTGTCACTGAGTTGTGGCCTTCCAGAGTGGGCCATGCTTGCAGCACCCACTGCACAAGCCATCCCAGAAAGCTACTGAGTTAGCGTCCATGTGAACCCCGGTAGCTCTCTGCCTGAGAAGCAAGTGCCTTTATCTCAGAACCTGTGTGCTTTCTCGTGCTTTGGCATGGCTGTGATTCTGACGAGTGGTTTAAATGTGCCTTCTTGTTGTTTTCCTTCTGCCTGTGGCTCCCACCTTTCTGTTCTGTGCCGGGCTGTCCCTGCTTGTCCTGCGTTAGGAGGTAGGTACCCAGTGGCTTCCTCTCCTCCCCAGCGGCTCATTCTCTCCCCACGTTGGTCTGTGTGAGGCTCCAGTCTGTGGTTGCCATTCATCTGATCCATTTGGCTTTGGACTTGGCTGGGGCAGCGTCATGCAGGTGTAGTGTGTGTGATACCCACCCATCAAGGGCAGGGCCCAGAGCACCTGGGACCAGAAGCGCATGGGGAGACTGTGTGGGAACAAGCTTGCCCCCAATCTTCAGAGTTCTGCAGCAGTGAGGAAGCTCATAACCAGCCTGTCCTTACAGTGCCACCTCCAACCTCCCACTAACCAACAGTGTTCACACCTGTGCAAAAACTTCCTTATTGGAAACAATAATTTTCCTGCATTTGGGACATTTGAGATTTTTAGGCTTCATTTTGACTCTGGGGGTGATGAAAGTACCGTAGATTGACAGTAAAGCCTGTGACATGTGACAGCACCCTGTCCAGGTAATATTAATGCTGTGTAATAAGAAAGACATGTGGAATAAAATTCTGATGTTTTAAAAAAGATGGATAAAGGGAGGATGGGCTGTAACATGGAGACTCGTGGCAGGTACAGTTGATGGCGTTCTCCTGAGGGTCTGCTGTTTCCCTGTGGAATTTTAGCCTTGGCTGTTGCTTTTTGGCTTTGCTCTCATTGTATCAAAGTTAGAAATGTTCTCAATGTTGGCCTTAAAATCTAGTACAGTAACTTTGAACTTGGGCACCTGAGTGACTTAGACACACACTGAAGTCCTCAAGTCACACTGCTTATGGACTTGGACTTGAGAAAAGAGGAAGAGTCCTGAGCCAGCACCAGGAGCCCCTCGAGGGACGATAGCAATATCAGCTTCCTGGCAGTTCATGTGGCTTCTGCCACTAGGAAGATTAAAGTCCCTAGGATTAAAATGAATGAATGAAATCAAGACCTAGGCCAGCTTGTGTTTTCTCACCCGTATCCTGGTTAGGCATCTCAGCAGGCCATGAGACCAGTGTGCAGAGCACTTGCACTTTGCTGCTGGTCCGAGCCTTGACCCAGTGCAGCTAAACGCAGGGCCCTGAGGTCCAGTCAGTGCTGGCACTGTGGGCTGCCTCACACCAGCAGCCATTGGCTCCACTCTGCTCCAGGGGTAAAGTCTAAGGCCAAAGCCGGGATTACATAAGGCACTATCCATAGATAGCACCCCAGCAAGCTGGTGGGCAGAATTAGCTTGCACTGGCCTTTTCCAGGTGCCTGATGCCCATAGGCACTTCTGCCCAGTGGTTTCCCTCAGTTGTGTGAAGAAGCCCAGACCTAGCATATGCCACAGCCAGCTATTACTTGTTCAGACATGTCCAGAGGGTAGAAAACACTCTAGAAGTGTTTTGCAGTCTTGGTGGGGCTGTATACAATGGTGGATTTTGAGCCATTCACTTAAAAAACATAGGATGTAGTTAGAGTTATCATGGAAGAACAAGTGTATGTAGGCATGCACGTGTTAGTGTGTTTGTGTGCAGCCATGTGTCTCTACCTACACATGCTTGGTAACAGCAATGAAAGTGAAAATATAAAAACATAAAAGTGGGAGCACAGCTCCTGTGCACGGGGCTGAATGCAGGATTGGTGAACTGAGGACATCCCACCACCTTGTAGAGAATTTGCTGTGGCTTCAAGTTTTGGCCATTGCCGCTGCTAGGCTTGCATCTGAGCCAAATGGGATCCCTGCTGGGTAGCCTAGAGCCCAGCTGACCCTGCTCAGTGTAGGCACCTACTGACTGGGTCCCCCAATCACCCTAACCGTGGGAGCAGTTGGGATGTCCTGGGTACAGAGCCAAGGCCCTCCATCATCACAGATACCTCTTCGGGCAGCTGTGCCCCAACACCTGGCAGGCCCGGGAGCATGCAGCTGAGCAGAGCACATGAGGTCCCATAGCCATGTAGGAGCACAGAGGAAGGGTGGGCACTTGGCAGGGGCCACTGCCACACAGAGACCTGGAGCAGCTCTGCCAAAGGGGAGCCCAGGGCTGGGGAGGGAGAGAAGAGGGCATTTGGTTGGTTAGTTTCCAAGAACCTTTCTGGCTATTGTTGGGAAGGTGCTGTAGGCCGGAAGCCCCAATGTAGCTGGGATGACTGCAGTTTGAGTCGCTGAGGGGAGGAGAGGCAATACACTGGTGGTTTGCACCTGCATGGCAAGCTGGCTCTAACCTGATGCAGTTATCGCCTTGGCCTGGGAGAGTGCCTGAGAGAAGCTAGTGTGGCTAGAGCTTGGCATTCCTTTCTCTGTTCCTCCTCACTGGAGGTGTTTGGGAAAAGAGGGTCTAAACTGAGGTTCTTCTGGGCCCCTGCATGGGATTTCCTGTGAGTAATGGTGGGGCAGGCCCCAAGTGAGGGCAGTGAGGAAGCTGTGATTTGAGGAGCAGGGGTTTAGGCCAGCCATCCGGAAAGATGGTGGGAAAAAGAGGTCTGACTGCAAGCTGGAGACTTCTAAGGAGGTCCTTACAACAAGAGGTATGGTGTGGAGGCGGGCTTTGGCTTGGGCTGGCCTGATATCCCACTGTGCTTTGGGGATTCCCCACTGCCCTGCAGACTCTCCACTCTGTCAGGAAAAAATTCTCTCCCCTGTTCCTACTGTCACCTGTATTTGGCTCTCTGTAACTGGAAGGCCCACTCGGAGCCTGGGAAGTTCCTCCTTCACTGTGGGCACCTCTGTGCCTCTTGCAGCACTTCCCAGTACCTTTCATTGGCCTGCAGAGTGTAGGAGGCTGCAGCTGCAGCCCCAGCCACACTCCCCACATCCTGGCATGTTGTAGAGGAAGCCAAGCCAGTTCCTCTGTATTGCCACTGTTAGTTCCAGAAGCCATGGGGCAGGGAGGGCCATCTCACCTGGAGCTCCTGGTAGCCCCTGAATTGGTTACCACAAGCAGCTTTTCCTCTTGTTTTTTCCCCTAACTCCTTGTCAAAAGCAAAAGCTGTCAGAAATAATTTTGACTGACAGTAAGTTGGGGTAGAAGGGTTTTTTCCATAGTAAAGAGCAGGTACAGATAGCCTGTGTGTGCCTGCATACTTGTGTGTGTGTGTGTGTGTGTGTGTGTACACGTACGTAAATGTATACATGTGCTCCAGATCTTGTTAAGAGATTAATTCAATCTAATAATTCCCTGGGCCAAGAGTAATTGACTTTGATGGATCCCAGGACTGCTCAAAGTCCCAGTAATGCGATAACTGCCCTGATGTAACGGGATTAAGCCTGGACAGAACTGGGTGAGCCGGCACTGACTTCATCGTGTTCATTTCATGGGGGAAATTACGCCCATCCATTACAACTAACTTTTCCAGGAAGCAGATTTAAAAGCAGTATGTGACCTAGGGTGACCCTGGGTGGCCGTGGAGAGAGGGCACCTGAGTGGGCCCTGGGGGGGGGTGCATGGGGGCCCCAGCCCTGCACCCAACCATCCTGGATGGTCAGGCCTCATGGCTTGCCCTGGACTTTCTAATGGGATGGTTTGAAGAGAAAGGAAGCCGAGTCCTGAGCTTGGCTCCTTTGACAGGGCAGTGATGTGGTGGTAGGGGAATTCTGGGCCCCTCTCTGGGCCCTTGGGCTCCAGCTGCCTGGGCACCTGCCTCACAGGGCTCTTCTGCTCTTAGGGGGGCGTGTGAAGACCTGGAAACGGCGCTGGTTCATCCTCACAGATAACTGCCTCTACTACTTTGAGTACACTACGGTAAGTGAGGCTGCATATTCTCTACAGTCCTGGGGACCTCAGCCTGTTAGGCCTTGCCTCACGCATCTCTCTTCCAGGACAAGGAGCCCAGGGGGATCATCCCACTGGAGAACCTCAGCATCAGAGAGGTAGAGGACCCTCGGAAACCGGTACGAGGTTTTCCTTGCCTGTGCCTCTTCACTCTGGGTCTTTGCAGCCTCCCCTCCCTCCCTGCCTGTGTGACGGCTCTCTTCTCTCTACCAGAATTGCTTTGAGCTGTACAACCCCAGTCACAAAGGGCAGGTCATCAAAGCCTGCAAGACAGAGGCAGATGGTCGTGTGGTGGAGGGGAACCATGTTGTGTACCGGATCTCCGCCCCCAGCCCCGAGGAGAAGGAGGAATGGATGAAGTCCATCAAGTGAGTGAGGACAGCCAGGCTGATGAGTCCCGTGGGGAGCAGGCGTGTGTGTACACACGTGTGCATGTTGGAACCCTGTACTCAGTATGTCAGGAAGGCCAGCCTGGCCACCCCAGACCTATACCTGCTGCTTGCTTGGCACCTGTGGTGTGGTGGGGCTGGGCAGCCAGGCTTTGCGGCAGCTACAACACACTATCTCCCTTTTTCCCCCAGAGCAAGCATCAGCAGGGACCCATTCTATGACATGTTGGCCACGAGGAAAAGGAGGATTGCCAATAAGAAATAGGTAAATGCCAAGCCCCAGACTCCATAGCAGATGTGCTGGCTACTCACAAGCAGCAGGACGAGGGGGCAGTGTGGTGCCCATGTCCTCCAGAACAGCTAGCCAAGACCCAAGCCCTGAAATCCTCGTGCTGTGCTGTCCTCGGGGATGTTGGTCAGCTGTGAGTGTTTACTTCTGCACTATCCTGCCATTGACCTTTGGGGACCCTTGTCTACAGAGCACTTGGTGACACAGCCTCAGGACCTGCACAGCCCACATGGGACTCCTTTTCTGGAGCCAGAGCCTCATCTACACCATGCCACACCTGCTCTTTTGGGCAGCATTAGCTGTTCTAGAAGTCACTGTTTTATATCAAAATGGGAAAGGAAACCTACCACTTTTTTATTCAGAATTTTTCTCAGATATATAGGATTATAGCTTTTATATGCCTTTTTATATTCTGAAAATTACAATGAAAGATACTTAATTTCTAACGGTAGTATTTTTAGAATGGCAGCTATAAACTTAACTCCTGGACACAAGTATATACTGTGCACTGAACACAGTCTATATATGCAGTCTCCAAGCACTTGAGTTGGAGGAGCTGGGGGCCTGATGTGTCAGGTGGGGCACAGGCAGCCACTCTGGGTGTCGAGGCACTGGGGTAACCCTGAGGACCAGTATGCGTGGGAGAATGCAGGTGTGGCTAACTGCCACTTCTACTCATGTGCTTCTCTAAATCACTAAAATATGGTATGGCTCGGGATGTTTATTCTGTCAGTGTTGAGGCCTGGGAAACTGTTTGACCTTTACACATGAAAGTTTCATGTGGTCCATCTGCATCTGGCTCATGTTGGCTTTGGTACTTTTGTTGCTTGCTTTTCAAACTTTTGGTTAAGTGCTCACTGACATATTAATTAGGTCCAGTATTTGATGCAGTGCCTAGGCATGAGCAGCCAGAAGTAACCCACCTATCCTCTGGTAGTGCCAGGTTCTCCAACATTTGGCATCCCTTTGGAGGAGGGGAAGAGCTGACGATGGCACTTAGAGAAACCAGTGGCACACAGAACCCCATATATACCAGGGTGTGATTTCAGGGTACCGTGTGCTTGGGCTGAGAGTGGGCAGGGTGATCTGACCTTTTCTGTCGCACTTCTGGGGAGGCCTGTTCATAATTTGGAGGACTCTCTTGGGGGCTACATGTGGCTTGTTTCGAAAATGGCCTTTCCTGCCTAACTGCTTCCCCGCTTTCTACGTACACACACCTGGGGCTTGCATCCCAAGGGTCCTTGAATGCACTTAGATGTGACTTTCTGTGAGCTGTCTTGAGGCTCGGCCTCAGAGGTAGCTGTCACATAAGACTTTTTTTTTTGGACATGGGGGATGTCAAGGTTCATGTACCAGACTGATCACTTTTTAGTTTATTCCCAAGCTTCTAGGCTTTTACTTTTACTAATACCTCAGATCTGAAACCTTTGTTTGAGCTGCCTGGCTGGTGTGTATGCAGCTTGGCTTCCAGTCTTCCATGATCCCTACCCCGAGCCTTCATCACCTCAGACCACAACTCGCTGCTGGTTGGGCACCTGTGTGTGTGAGGTCAGGGGGACTGGCATGCCTCCATCAGGACTCTGGTTAGTCTGCTTCTCATGTCCAACCCAGGTATGGTCCTGGGGATACAGAGCTCTCTGTTGGATGTTGATGTTAAGCATGAGGCCACATGATGGTGGCTTTGAGGGGACTTTGCCTGATGGCTGTTGGTGCTAAGAATCCTAAGTTACTGGCTCTCAGAGTATCCATATGGAGTCACCTAACTCAGGTTTTGTTGTGACAGTATTAACCCCAAGGGCATCTGGCCACTTCCAGGGCTTGCAAAAGGTCGGTCATACTCATGCCCTTTGTCTGACATCATGAAAGCATTAAGTCCTACTCTGGCCAAAGACAGTTTCCTGTCCTGCTGGGCCCTGACCGTCATTTTCAGGTGTAGGTAGCCTGGCCCTGGAGGTGTCAGAACACTTGAGGGATGTGGTCCCATAGTCTACCTAGGAACTGTTGGAGATGCTCCAGCCTTCTATGCTTCATGTCATACCGATTTTCAGAGCTACAGCTGTGTTTTGCTGACAAGTGAGGTCTGTTACAGACCGAAACCACAAGTGATTTCTTTTTATCTTAGAAAACATTTCTATTTACAATAAATAGTTGCTATGTAAATAATGTACATATGTATTAATTTCTGCAGTGTTTGTTATATACAATGTACATATTCCTACAACCTGCATGAAGAAATATCCTATTAATGTTATCAGAATTTCTGGCTATTTTATTGCAAAGCAAACAGCTAGTAAAATGGAGGGCTTACAGCTGGTCAGAACTATTGCAAATACTGTGTTCCCTAAATAAAAACATACTGCTAAAACAAACTGCTTCAGACTCAATTCTTTAAAAAAGATGTGGCTGTGAGCTTATGGAGAACAGAGAAAAACTGAGCCAGGGTTGTTTAATTTGCTGCCATTTATATACTATATAAATCTTACATGCCGTATATACAGTGGGGCAAGTGCTTTTTTAATCTTAAAAAAACAAAGATCAACTTTAGACATCTCTGAACAACACAAACTGTATAAACCATACAGATTATTCAGATACACACTGTATTAAATACAGTCTTTTCCCCACTCCCGTCTCCTGATGCAGGACCAGTGAATTATAAGTGTATCACAGTTTGATAGCATATCCATATTAAAAATAAAATAACAGTATGATTTTTGTCTGTAACTAGAAACTTGAAGGGATCAAGCTGACGACTCAGACTCCAATATCATATTGTCAAGACGAGACACAGTATAAAAAGTGTTAGGTAATAAAAACATACTGTAGGCTTTACAAATAATGTCTGGATTATACATTCATAATGCAAATACTCATCATAACTGGTAAATTGATTGGAATAGTTCCACAAAGTTCAAAAACAGAACTTGTCTATAAAATACATCTTCAAATCTTGAATACAACTAAAATGTGAAGCAAATTAGTTTCTAGTATCAGACATTGCAGAGGAAGCCCTCGAAGGTCTAGTTGAGAGCTTGGGTCTTTAAATAAGTCTTTAAATTAAATAGACGCACTGTTGGTTTGTCCTTTTAGAAGTCCATGGTTCCCAGTTGGCCGTGCACCAGATGTCTAGCTTGGAGGAACATTACATGAAATACAAGTAGTCAACCTGAGTCTGTAGTTAAGCAGCATCTGAGATGGTCTATTCCAGGGCATTATTTTCAGTGTGGTTTTTATGTACACAGTAATTTACAATGTTCAGCAGTGTACAAAGTATCCGTTTGGAATAAGGGCAATTAAGAAAAGGTAAAAACTTAAAAAAAAAAAAAAAAGTTGTCCATGGTAAAGTCTGTACAGTATTTACTAAAGAAGCACCACGCAGTTTGGACAAAGTTATTTTCTATGTTTATAATTTAATCTGGGTTTGGGATGGCTTCTGTTGAAAATGTTGAATCTGAAAGAAAAGAGGTGCGGGCATTAGCTTGAATGGAAGCTAGTTTCCTCACATGCTCTGGATGTGAAAAGTTGTTGAAATGAGTTCTGTACCTTCCTGAACTGTAATAAAGGAACCCTGTGAAAGCCAGGAAGCGCCATCTGCTGGGCTCCACAGCTGCTAACTGCCTCAGGTTTCACTTTCATTGGGCAGAGAGGCTTAGTCTTTGTTTTGATGACACTGACAAAGCCCGTTAATTAGCAAACTGAGCTGCTGTAGCAGATCATTTTAAAGCCCTCCTTGCTGACTGGATTTGACAGTGTCCTTTCTGCTTCAAGTGTAGGCTATGAGTTCCTGTCTCTCAGGGCCGTACAATAAAACACCAGCAATTAGGACCCAGGATATGGCACTGACCCCTGTGTGGTTCCTCTCTGCTCTCAGGTACCCCATTTCTCAGCACAACTTCCATGTCTGGACACTAGCTAGTGGCTGATAGTATGCTGGAGACACAGACCCCCCAGAACCCCAATCTTTTCTTCAGAAGGAAACCCACCTATATCTTTTACAAATGACCAAAACACAGACAGGAAAATTGCTTACCGTAATTTTTTTTTTTTTTGTTATGAGGCCAAGGCTTTAATCACCTGGAAGGCAAAGTGAGGAAACAATTTAATGTGTGTGTACCTGAAGACTGACTATCATCAGTTTCTGCAGTTTGATGTCAGCTACTAAAAGGATCACTTCTACAGGATGGGCAAGCAGACCCTGGCTGGCAGTGCTACAAAGAACATCAATGGAGGATGCTCAAGAGCCACGCCCAGGGACCAGGTCTCTACTCCAGCCTACACATTCTAATGTGAGGATGAACAGGTTTCAGCCCAAAGAAGTGAGCTGAGAGTCCTACAGAGAGCTGGAGGTTGCAAGAAAGGGTCAGTGGTCACAGCCCAGAGCAGAGGTGTAGGTAGAGGCATTAGCTGCAAACCAGCCACTAGTTTGGAACAACCTGATGCAGTCAGTGTATGGATGGACTGCCAACAAGCAAAGGTTCCACTCAGGGCTACCATCACATTTCTGTAGCAACACACATGCTTTTATTTGTGACCATGATCTTTGGGTGTCTAGGGAAGACATGCTTTTTATATCATGGGCCAAATGAAGAAAACCATTTCAATGGGACAGGACATGTTCTTACCTCTGAGTGACACCAAAACAGTACAAAAGAAAACACATGGGCTTCACACAAAGTCTACTGAGCCAAAACCTCTCATTTCACATAGTGCTCCACTTGGAACAAATACCCCAACTCATACTTTTAAGTGTCAGAGCCATTCTGAATTGCAGGTTAGGCTGTAGCCCCAGGGCTAGTTTGCCAGCCTCTGCTCTGCTCCACTGACATTCATATCTCCTGTGCATTTTTTACAAGCCAAATGCTCCTATCTAGGGGAAAAGCTCATTAGAAACAAGGTAGGAAGAGGAAGGGGCAGCCAAGCACACTGGCACTGGCCTGTATTCCCAGCACTCAGGAGGGTGAGGTAGGATTTTGAGTTCCGGGTTAGCCTGGAACCACTCATTTAGGGAGAAAAAGATCCAGCAAAAAGAACCTCAGAAACCAGCAGCCTAGACAGTATGAGCCCCACACTACAGATACATCTTTAGAGATCACACTACTGAGTTATGACTTAGGAATTGGAGTACACTTGGGCCTTTAGGGGTTCATAAGTTAACACAATACACACACAGATGTACACATGGGTGCACACAAACATACACAGGAACAGAATCCTTTAAAAGCCAAAGTTCTGTGTAACACACATAGGTGCTCTTAGGTTCCAGCGTTCTGAGCACACAGGTTATACTGGGCCCAGCTCGGCGCAATTCCAGCCAGAGGTCACACCACACTTCTGCTCACTGCAACGGTCTTGTTCTGGTGCATCTTGAGTCCACTCTCATACCCTTCTGTACCCCTTACATTTCTGTGTTCATCACCTTTCCCAACACGTTACTCAGAGAGCTGTATCCTTAACTTCCCGTTTTCTTACCCTGGCCATACTCTGACAGATAGCATCTGTCAGGCCGGCTTTCCACCCTTAAGTGCTTGGTTTTCTCCCGGAAAGAGCTGCTGTCTTCCAGAGCCAGGCCATCAGCCAGCAGAAAGGTGCCCTCCGTTCTCCGGAAATGGCCGACAGCCTCGTAGTTCGAGGGCTTCGGTAAATGCATCTCAACATCTTTCATCAAGGCCTCTGACTTCCTTGAATGTCTTTTCTTTTTCTTCTTTTTCTTCCGATGTCTGTGGAGGTCAGCATCAGAGTATGCTCCTGAAAAGTCGGATTCTTGCTGATGCCTGCAGAAGAAGCAGCCAGAGTTCAGCACCAAGGGAACTGCAATCCTGCTCCCCATCCCCCAGGACACTGGCTATGCATCTGTGAACAAATTTCTCCTGCCAACATGCTATTTCCTTTCATGGAAACAAATTTTAAACCCAACGTCTTCAACTACAACACCACTGTCCCCAGCACTTCTTTGCTTTGGCCAGAACTGGCACATTCTGCCATGTGTCCAGGCACAGGACAGACGGCAGCTGTGATCACGACTAAGGCAATCTTGCCCCAGTTTTAGTGTTAAGTGATGTCAGCTAAGACACAGGAATTGCATTCATGCTCACAAATCAGAAATCAATTAAGACAGCTGCCAACAGTTAAGCTTCTAAGTGATGCAAAACCAATCGGGTGTAAATCCCAGCACTGGGGCCATTGAGGTAGGTGGATGTTAGTTTGAAACTGGCCTCAAAGACACAAAAACATTTAGACGTTAAAATGACAAATGGTGGCCTAAAAAGAGACAAAAGCCAAAGAAATAGATTGTGTGTCCTAAGCTTGCTCTAAGCAGGCAAACAGGAAGAGAGGAAAAGCCAAAAGACACAAGAATATGACGACTTATGTTAGGCCTGGGAGTCGGGGCCTCGGTCCGGCCCCAAATGATGAGGCAGACTTTGATGATCCCCCATGGGAGGCCTCACCCTCTCTGAGGACTGGATGGGGGTGGGATGGGAAGACTGATGGGGGAGTGGGAGGGAGAGGGAACTGGGATTGGTGTGTAAAATAAGATTGTTTTAATCTAAAGTTAAAAAAAAACAAAACAAAAAACCTCAAAACTCCAGAGATGATTAAAAAAAAAAAGTCAAACTGGTGGAATATCAGCCCTCTGGCTTGGTGGTGTCAGGACAGAGCCAGCCACACAAGCACTGTGGCCACTCCAAACTCGAACACTGGATCCCCTCTCCAGGGCTCACCTGCCATCTCGATCCCGGTGTTTATCTTTGGACTTCTTTTTCTTTTTAGATTTTTTGTGCTTCTTTGTCCTTGGCTCTTCTACAGTGTCCTTCTCCAGACTTTTGTGGGCTTTTTTCTCTAAGCGGCTATCATTTTCTAGCGTCTCATACCTCCGTTTCCTCGGCTTGACACTTTGGTGTTCATGAAAGCGCTCAGGGAGACTGTGGGTGCTCTCCTGCACATCCAGCACGGCCTTCTCTTGGGGATGCCTCTCGAGGGTCAGAGCAAGGCCAGGGGCCTCTCTGGGGTTGTGGAAGTGGGGTCGTTCCTTCCCCCGGGGTTGCAGCTCCCAGCTTTTACGGCCCCAGTAGCTGTCTTTGTGTGGACGCCCAAGCTGGGCAGAGCGTTCATGCTCACGAGCACGGAGAGGCCGCCACTCTCGGGCCGTGTACGGGACGTACCTGTCGTGGTAATACCTGCATTTGTCCCACCGCATCTTGTCCGGGTAGAATCTCTCCCTGACCCAGGCATGCTCATTTTCCAAATGGTGGTATCGGCTCCAGTCCTGTTCTGGGCCATTCCTAACCCGTGAGTGATGGTGGCTGTATCTGGTGGTGGGGGGGGGCGCCGGGGGGGG